TACCTACACTAGTTTAGGACAAGATATGTGTACATATATGTGTGTGAATGTTTATTCACATGTCTCATAATTAATAAATCTCATGAATATTTAAACCAAGGAGTCCCACTTTCCTCCCATTTTACACTGCTCATGTTTCGCCCAGTGTGGTACATCTACCCCTTGACCAAAAGCTCTGTATTCTCTCAGCACCCTTAGGTGCTCTGGTTGCCCAACCAGACGCCTCTCCTTTCTTATTACTTACAAGCTAACAAAAGGAACAAAAATAACAAATAATAATATTGAAGTTTAATAGTCCAAGTCCATTCTGGGTCAGGCTTCTTGAAGTGCTGTTATTTCTTTTTTTTCTTTTTTTTTTTTGCTTATGTGGTGCTGAGGAATCAAACCCAGGGCCTCAGGCATGCAAGGCAAGCACTTTAACCACTGAGCCCTTCCCAGCCCATGAAGTGCTGTTATTTCTTGAGCTGCGACTGTTTCACCAGAAGTCAGCAGGGGGCACCTCAAACGCATCCTCTGCGAAGTGGGGCTAGCCTCAGGCAGGGTTTGATGCTGGTTCTAGAATTATTTCTGGTGTGAGCACCTCTCCAATACATATTACTAACACATTACTAACTAGGTATTTAAAAATGTCTCCTCTTTTATCTCCTTTTTATATGGACTTCACTTTTTATTTTGTTTTGGGGGTCTCATTTAATGGGAAAGGGGAAGCCTATACATAAATGAACACTGGTTATAAAAATCAGTGCATAATTTGTGGGACATTCCTTTTTGTTTTTAGAGCTATGTTCTAGAAAAGGCCAGTGCCCTCTCCCCTGGGATCCTACAGTTCCGCTGTGACAAGCATCTATCTTTAAGGTTCTGTCCTTTCTGCCTTCACTATCAAGCTTGTTTCAAACGTATGGTTTTAATGCATTGGTGTGTGTGTGTGTGTGTGTGTGTTTAAAAAATATATGATCATAGAAAGTGATGCTTATTGAAATGAACCTCAAGAAATGGAAACAAGAGGATTTTTTAAATTATTGTACTGTCTGCAGTTTTTTTTCCCTTTCTTTATTTCCGTAGCCTTTGTCTTGTATGTAAGTTTATCTGATTTGGGGAGTGGAGGGGGAAGCGCAGGAACAGTGGACAAAGGGTGAACCAATTCAGCAGTGATTCTCACTGGACTATGTTGGAAATGAACTATACAAGTTGGGGGTAAAGGGGCTGGGAGGAAAAAAAAACTGGGAGAAAATGAGGGAGAGGGTGACACTGTTCAAAAAGAAATGTACTCATTACCTGTCATGTCACTGTAACCCCTCTGCATGTCACCTTTACAATAAAAGTTAAATAAAACAATATGGAAAGTACCTTATCTCTCTTTTCACTTTTATTCCTCCAAATCTTGATGCTGGCATTGTTTGTCTTTGCTATCTATGTGGCATATGCGTTTATTTATATATTTGTTGTTATTGTTGGTCTTTCCCTGACTTTAGAAGGGGAATTGCATGACTATCCACAAGTCAAGCAAACTAAAATTTCTTCAAGTGTGTCCAGATTATTTTTCCTCAGTTCCTGGTTTGAGGCAATTCTCACACTCCATAACTCTCACCCCGCCTCATGGAAACAAAACATTCTCCCTTCCCTAGCTCACTTCTAGTTAGAGATTAGCCGAAAATGGAAGAAAATGACTATTCATTTGTACTTTTAACTTTTTCACAACCACAACCCAAACTTGGCCAAAAGAATTGTATTCTATCTGAGTTTAATATTCCCGAGGAAGCCATTCAGGGTTTTTCATCATAGTGTTGTTGGGCAATGGATTCAAGAAGAGTTTTGCAAGATCAGGACTTCTATTCACCAACCAACCAGCACCAGATGCATAGCTGCACCCTGCACTTCCTGCCCTGCTCATCAACATGTCAGCCAGGAGGGCCGCCATGGGTCACTGCAAACACAACCATGGCACGTGGATGGGAGATGGTGGAGAAACCCTTGTGACATTTTTTTTTTTGCCTGTAGGCATCTTGGTTTTCTCTCCCGTTTTAAAAATTGACAGACTTTTAAATACCTTATTACATTTATGGCTTTGTATTTCTAATTTTTTATATTAGCCATACTTTTCTAAGTCAAGTGTGTGTATATATATATATTATATTATATATTTGCCACAGAGACCAGATCCCCTCCAGAACCAAGGTTCTTTAGAGGCACTTAGTTTATTATATTAGTTAGCAAAGAAGCCTCAAAGTAAAGCCTGCACTAAAATCTGCATGCATGAATAGAAAACACCTGCTTCCCAGCCTTTTCTTGTTCACAATCACAGTAACATTAAAATTTAACATAGGAAATATGTTTTCTTTCTCCCCTGATTATTGACAACAACTATTTATGATCCACGGTTATGGTTATTTAATCGTTTTGGGCAGAGGAAGGGGGAGGCCATCTCCCTTAATCTGTGCAATGGACTTATTATTCAACATTCTGAGTGTTTATAAATATTAAATGCACAAAGGGATGAAAAATGTCCAGTATGTGCAAGTAGCAGGCAGTCAACCAATATAAGAGATAAAAAGCAAAGAAAGAAGGAAGGAGGGGAGAAAGAAGGAAGGATGAGGAGGGAGGGAGAGAAGAAGGAGGGAAGGAAGGAAGGAAGGAAGGAAGGAAGAGAGGAAGGCAGAAAAAACCATTTTTACATGTACAATTTTGGTTGTTTCAGTAAGTATGCACATTGGCCTTTACTTTTTTTCTTTTGTTGTTTTTCTTTTTCTTTTTCTTTTCTTTTTTTTTGTGCCAATAATAGGGATTGAACTCCAGGTCCAGGTGCTCTTTAGCTTTTTTGCTCCAGGCTCTCTACTACTTGAACCATGCCTTTACTTCCAGCATTTTTGGTGGTTAATTGGAAATAAGAGTCTCATGATTTTTTCTGCCCATGCTGGTTTTGAACAGTGGAAGTAGTTAGGATTATAGGCGTGAGCCACTAGCACCTAACCACATTTGCAATCTTACTTACATTGTTTTTAACTCTATTCCAGGTAAAGGGTTGTGTGGTGCTCTAGGGACTACCTGGTCAACATTTGAAAACTGCTTAGCTTCTGTTAACATGCAGCTTTGTAATCTGTTTGCAAGGGGAATGTCAATTTAGAAAAAAGACCAAGCCTCAAACTATCCATGGTCAAATAACCTTGTCCAGGTTTAGATATGAGGTCTTTGACTAAAGCATGACACTGCTGACCTGGGCTCATGTGAGCCTCTGCACTAGATCTGAAGCACCTGACTACTCTCAGCACAGCCAATCAGTGGGGAGCGTGACTGTCACACCCACCTGACCACCACTTGTCTTTGGGAAAGGAGCCAGTTTGGCTGCTTTTGTACTGGGGTGAGCTTGGGGCAGTTCTTCCTGGAAGTCTCTGCAGTATTAACAGCAACAAGCCAGTCCAAAACTGGCTTCACACTTAACAACAAATGCATATACCCCCAATTCTTGATTGATTGGATTTTGTTATCTATTAACCTGGGAAATCATTTAAACACACATGATAGGCACCCAGACTTCCTTTAGCAATCACATAAAATCTTGCGGTTCTCTGAAAACACGGAAGTGGACTTTGGTTTGATTGTCTTAGGCTGCACCAGATTTTGTGTAAGGCAGCTGGCATTTTGGCACTTCTATCTACATGCCTTCATACCATTAGCACAGTGTCATTTTTTCAACATTAGAGTTTCCCATATAGATTTTGGAGGACAGCCATATCATACCTGCTATTTATTCTGTCAGTGCTAAAGTTGCTCCTTGAGGTTTAACTCTTGGCAGATTTCAAGATTTTCCACATGCTTTGCAAGATTTTTAGAATGAATGCAGAGGGTATGTTGTAGTTTCATATTTGCAGTACAAGACCATGCATGATGTGTGAATTGAACGCACTAACTTCAAGATAGAACTCTTCTACAGAATAGCAAGCTATATTTTAAGCATGATCAGCTTTTGTTCTTTTTTTTAAGAACAACGCTAAAAGTGGGCCTAGATTACATTGTATAGTCTTTTATCCAAAATCTACAAATGTGTGTGTGTGTGGAGAGAGAGAGACTGAAGGGGGGGGCAGAGCAAAGATAGACCAGTAAAGTCAGCCAATTGGAGGTTCGGACTTAATGTGTCACTATCTCAACAGTAAGAGGGATGGAAAGAGTACAAAGTTAGATGACCTGAGTTAATGTAAACCTTTCTCATTTAAAAAGACACTTGAAAATGTTCTAAGCAAACTGACAAATAAGAACAATATCTAATGTGATCTTATTTGTTTTATTTTACATGCACTCCCCAATCGTCTTTTTAAAAGATTAATGATACATTTAAAATGTATCATTGATGGTTTTGACTACATAAACAGAGTTGTGAAATAAACCCAGTTTCAAAAATGTAATTATAGAACATTTTCATCAACTGCTCCCAATCTTTCTTTTATTCCTTAGCCCATCTCTGCAGATTTAGAACAATACAATATTTACCTAATATAATAGGCTTCTTTCACTTATAACTCAACATAGTTTTAAATTATTAGGTCTTGATGTTCTGCCTCAGAAGGTAATTCTTACCTTTTTTCCTTTTTTTTTTTTTTTTTTTGCCTGAGTTAGGCTTGAACCTGGGCCTGAGCACTGTCCCTCAGCTATTTTGCTCAAGGGTGTGTCACACCTCTACTTCTGGCTTTTTCCATGCTAACTGGAGTTAACTGGTTAACTAAGACTTTTCTGCCTGAGCTGCCTTTGAACTCTATCATCTTCAGACCTCGTCCTCTTGAGTAGCTAGGATTACATGCACCAGCCACTAGTAGCCAGCCAATAAATTTGAGGCTTGCATACAATTTGCATCAAAGAAAAACGAGAAGCGAGTTCGAGCGAGGGCGCTCCGTCACACATGCCAGTCCATATTGCCCATGTTAAAAGACCAGATTGTGCAAACAGGCTGCAGCAGCAGTATGTCCTTGGGTTTCACATCGATTTTTTTTGAGGGGGAGGGGTTACTGCAAGTTAAAGCACAGAACACATCAAACCAGGAGAGAGGATCCGCGCTGGCCAAACAGATCAAAACTTCCTGTCCTTGGAAGATTTGTTCTTGGTGAGTGTGTAACATAAAATCGATATGAAAGTGTGCTAGTTTAGGGGGTCTGGGGGAGCAATCAGAAGCCTAAGAAAGTTCAAATTTTCCCTTCTGCCCTTTCCCCCGGTTCTAGCTGGCAGGGTTGATCCTCGTTACAGTTTGCCCAAATATTTGGAAGTGAAATTAGGGCCCTCCTCCCCCCCAACTTATGATTTTATAGCCAATGGGGGAGGAGGTTTATTTGCATATTTCCAGTCACAAAAGCAGCCGTGCAGGGGAAACCGTGTCAGACTCAATTCCGCCTCCTCTTCCTTCTCCTCCTCTTCTTTCCTCTCCTCCTCCACCGCTTCCTCCTCTTCCTCGGAGGAAATCTGCCACTTCGGCTGCCTTGCCCTCCCCTTTCAAGGAAGACCTGCCTGCTGCCCGGCCGCGCTCAGCTCAGCCCTCGCCGTCCGCCCGCAGCTCGGTCCGCGCGCTTCCGCGCTGTGCAGCTCCAGCCCGAGGACGCGCCGGGAGATGGGGAGCAGAGCGTTGTTCCTGGGGATCCTGAGCGTGTGTCTTCAGAGTCTGATCGCCCCCCGCGGAGGGGTGGCCGCCGCCGCCGGTATGTTCTGTGTGCAACCCCCCCACTTCACCTGCAGCGGCCACTTCCAAGCGCTCCGAGGGAGGCCGGGGCGGGAGGTGGTTGGAAGTTGCTCGGGGCTGCCCAGCTCTCGTCTCGGGATGGGTCTGCCCGGGAGACGCGGGAAGCGAGTCTGCCTTCCCAGCTCGCCGCCCCGGCTCCGGTTTCCCGCTTTTTGTACCTCTCCGGGTGTTCCACGCTGTCCCTAGCGCTTGGCTGCAGCCGAGTTCCCGGGCGCGCACGGGCTTCGCCCGGGAGAGGATCGGGGAGGTAACGCGGGACACCAGTGAGGCTCCCACATGGGAGCCCGGGAGACGAAAGGGACGGGGCCAAGGTGACCCTGGCCTGGCGGAGACGAGGATCTGCGGCTCGGCTCGCCCTAGAACCCAGCGGCGCGCCGCGGGCGGGAGGTGGCCGCGTCTGGAGAAGCCGGCCGGGATGGGGAGGCGATGTCTGCCGGTTGGCTGCACCGGGCAGCGCTGGACGTGGGCCTGCTCTGGGCTGTGCGAGTGAGAATGGCCGTGGAAAGAGATGGGACCCCCGGCGCGAAGGTCCAGCCTGCGTTAGGGCGCCGCGAGGCTCTCCCGAGTCCACGCTCGCGCACGCTTGGCTTTTCTCAGCGCCCTGAAAACATAACACGCGGCTGATCCACACCACCACCACCCCCAAAAAGAGGGGCAGCAACTTGTAGGGGCGGGGTGACCGCCGGTTTAGGGGTTGCAGACTCCTGCTCTTGGCCTCCAGTCCTGTCTTCGGAGTGGGGGTTCGCCCAGGGTGTCCGGCTGCAGGGCGCAGGAGGGGTTTTCAGGGCGGGGGGGGGGCAGGGCGCAGAAGGAAGGGTCCAGGCAGAACCACTGTCACTAGCCTTGGTGAAGGTGACAGGGGCCAGATGCAAATTCCTTCATTACAGAGAAGCCAAGAGCTGCCCATGATTGAGAGTTTATGTAACTTGAACCTAGGCTCAGTACCTTAAAAGACACTGAAACCACCCAAGCAAGTCCCAAAGGGGGCAACATTGAATCTCCTCTTGGATGGTTTTGGGGTAGTATCCCAAACTTGTGTCAAGGTATGTCCTCAGAAGTTCCAGTCGGTCTGCGATGGCCAGCTTAAAGCTGTTTATCTTTCTATATTAAATTGTGTATAGGTTTGTTAGGTCAATAACAGAAGAGATTCCATCAAAGCAACAGTGGATTAAAAGACAAGTATCCTTTAAAAAAATTAGTGAAGTGTGAGGACAGTGGCCCAAAAGCTCTTAGGAACATGCTCCAATCCCCCCCCCACACACACACTTGAACTCAGGGCTTGTGTTGGCACTTGGTTGGTGCTCTACCACTTGGCTCACCAAAGCTCCAATCTGGCTTTTTTTCCTTGGTTGACTGGACATGGAATCTCAGACTTTTCTACCCTGGCTGGCTTCAAATTGTGATCCTCAGATCTCAGCCACTAGGATGACAAGAGTCAGCCATTGATACCCAGTCATGTCCAAATTCTTTTTTTTTTCCAATCCCGGGGCTTGAACTCAGGGCCTGGGCACTGTCCCTGAGCCTCTCTGTGCTCAAGGCAAGCACTCTACCACTTAAGCCTCAGTGCCACTTCTGGCTTTTTCTGTTTATGTGGGCTTCATGCATACTAGGCAAGCACTCTACCACTGAGCCACCTTCCCAGCCCCCAAATTCTTATAAGGTGACTTCTACTGTAAAACACGCACAGAAATGAATCTTTCACATTTTCAGCTTTTGCTGGGTTTCTGGTTAGTGTCACCTCTGAGTTTAGCTTCCACTCTAAAATAGGGAGTTGACAAGAATAATAGTTCTCTGCTTATACAGACACTTTAGACGTTACATTACTTAATTAAATTGGCTTTTAACCAATACATGCCTTTCTTGGCTGTAATATATACTAGAGAGGATAACTTCTAAGTAAACATGAAATGATCCACCCTCATCCTCCGCTTTTGCTCTATGTACCCTTTACAGTATGTCTCTCCCACCACAACCTCACAGCCCTTTCTCCTCCAGACTAATTCATCCAGGAGTGAAGAATGCCAATGAAAAATGTGTCACTTGGGGGGAATGAGCCACAGTTCTTTTCTGAGCTCTGGGTTTACTTACTAATCACAGATTTTCTGGGAACAGGATGAAGGCATCAAACATTGCCCTAGGGTTCTTTCTTCTTGGAACCTGTGCTTTTCCTACCTGGCCCTGATCAGGAAACTGGAAGAGCTAGGAGAGGAAGCCCATAGGGAATTTACTCAGTTCCACTGGCCACAGTAAATTTCCAGGCTAACTTCTGAGTGAAGCATGATTGGTGACAAGAGCAAACTAGCAAATGTCACCAGAGCAGAGCTTAGCTAGGGAGTGATTGATTAATAGCTGCATTGAAAGGTGGGTGTCATGTAGGGGGAAGAATTGCAATGTCAAATGTTCTCTTTCTTTCAAGCACTGTATTTTTAGTTCAGTCCTCTATGCTTGCTTTATTATGGAGGAGAAATTGGGTTATACAACTTGTTGCCTCTGTTATGTTAGCTTGTGTTAAAAAAAAAAGGCTCTCCAAACATGCCACATTCTGCTTTTCCCTTTTTCTCTGACCATCACTCGAGTCCATTTATTACTACCCATGTTGTATTGCCTTAAGTGCAGAGCTGTTCTGGCCATCAGTATAATTGATGGCTGATGGCAGCTTTGGGTCACACACATCAGGGAGATTATTCAAGACACGGATGCCATTATTTATCAGGTCTGGATGGAGGTATCATTTGAATTTGCTCATGTGTTCCAACTTAGATGGCAACAATAACAACAAAAACTATCATCAGTATAAAGTTTGGGCTAGTTCTATACACTAAATATGGTTTGTCACCACAGTGAACTAACACCTTTACAAAAGCTGAAGGCCTTGTTCATGTCTGAAGGGTCATCTGATAGGAATCAAGCTCACTCAAAGGCTAGGATTGTGAAGCTTACTGGGGGCAGTATTTGTCCATTGTGAAGACAATGTGACTCCATATTGCTGACTTTGCAGTCACTTTGAGATTGTCTGAATGAAGTGACACCATTAAGGTGTTTTATAGATGCTAGATGATCTTAGGTGAATGTATGTATATGTATTTAAAGTTCTGTTGGAAATGTACCTAAATGCTTAAGCCTACTAAATTTATTCTTTTCTTCCTAGTCGATTGTCTTAGAATGATCAAATTCTATCCTAAGCAGCTGAATGATTTTAATGATTTCCTTTAAAGGAATAAAGAAAATGTCTCCAGTGCTAACTGGCAATGAGTCACAAAGATGTTCCTGTTGGCATGACCACACTTGGTCAGACCAATCACTTTGTTCATGGCACACAAAGCTGTGTGTGTGTGTGTGTGTGTGTGTGTGTGTGTGTATGTGTGTGTGTTTCTTAGATGGAGATATCTCATTTTACGCAACACCATACTAAATCAAATTGATTATGTATGTTCACAGAAGCTTCAAAATAGAGTGAAAAATCAACTCTACGAGGGATTGAATGGATGTGAATCTAGTGCTCACATTCTAGATTATCTTTGAAATCAGAAATTTATTTTTGGAAAAAAATCAGTTTACAAAGTTACATTTTATTTTATTTTATTTTTTTGTGAGCATACTGTACAGAGGGGTTACAATTACATGGGCAAGATAATGAGTACATTTCTTATCAAGCATTGGAGCCTCCTTACAAAGTTACAATTTTTTAAAAAGAATGTTAACACTTCCACTTTTATTTTATTTATTTATTTTTTTAAAAATTTATATATATATATATTTTTTTTTAAATTTGGTTGTGGAGCTTGAACTCTGGGCCTGGGTGCTGTCCCTCAGCTCTTCAGCCCAAGGCAAGCACTCTACCACTTGAGCCACAGCACCACTTCCGGTTTTCTGAGTGGTTTATTGGAGATGAGAGTCACATGTACTTTCCTGCTGAGTCTGCTTTGAACAGCAATCCTCAGATCTCAGCCTCCTGAGTTGCTAGGATTGCAAGTGTGAGCCACGGGTGCCCAGCTAATGCTTCCATTTTAACTGAAAGAGTAGAGTCTACCCGTTAGCTAGCCTTCCTTCAAATAAAATAACTGTTAGTAAGACAATCATTGTTTTACATTGCATTCACTTGAAACAACTGGCAAGTTCCCCTTGCCATCTCTGTCAACAAGGAAAAAGTAACCTCAGATTCACCATGTAAGAATTTTGTGTTTCAAGTAAACGAAGTCTGGTTTAGAATATGCCTACAGGATAATACTTAATGGAAATATTTGATACTCAATGGAAATAACCAGTCCAGAGGCCTCCTTTGGACAACGATGGCTTACATTTGACGATGCTCAATGGTCTATTCAACACATCACTCCACCACTTTGTGACTTTTTTTTTTTTAGAAGTGTGGAAATTTCATCCTAGTTTTGGAGAAAATTCAACCAAAAGTGTGGGTTAGTAAATACAGGGTTTCCTTTTACCACTCAATTAAAAAAGGTTTTTTTTTTTTTTTTATCAAAGGGAAAAGTTAATTTGCTTGTCACATAAGCTAAAAACAGTATCTATATTGAGATACCAAAACAGATTTGCCAATCCAATCATATGACAATTCATTGCCAAATTGACCAATTTAGAAATTGAAAGGTTTTTTTTTTTTGCATCCTACATTCTATGCCACATCAATAATTATAACCATTCATCTTGGAGAACAAATGATTGATTAACCAAGATCTTTAGGTGTGTGTGTGTGTGTGTGTGTGTGTGTGTGTGTGTGTGTGTAAGAAAGAGAAAAAGAAAGGAAATTCAACGATAATTATATTACAACTGAGTTCTTTCTATTGATAGTGTCTTCTATGTTAACTTATTCATTGAATAACTGTGATCTACCTTCAGAATGTTTCCTGCTAAATCCTAGGATGTTCAGGGCTTCTTTTTTTCTAACAACAATAATACCCCTTCTGTAAGTATCTTACTTCTGTCTAAGTGCTTTGACATAGCTTCATTTCATTATCTGTGGCAAATTTCTTCTGTCTGTTTATACACTCAGATTTTAACCTATCCATTTAGAGACATAGGAATGAAGATCACACACTACAGAAATGCATTAACTTAAGGCTTATTAAGAACCCAAGAATCTCCCACCTTGGTGCTTAATGTGGGCTGGTCAGCAGGGTGGTAATGTGCTATGTGAAAGTCAAGATGGGGCTCTTATGAAGGCAAACATCTCAGTTCATTCCCTTCCTTCTTTATTCTAAAGTGGCCTTCGTTCCTTTGGGATTCAGGAAAAGTATTGCTGGGTAAGTGCGGAGTTGTCCTAGGAGCAGCCACTTCAGATCAGCTCATCCACATCTCAGCTGCAGCCCCACTGTGTAATAACACCACTGAACTTACTGACGGACCCACATCTGGGTCTGCCTGGTCTAAGCCAGCTGTTCAAGGGACAATAGAGGTTTGAAGAAGCAAATAGATTGGTATTTAGGATGCTAAATTATCTCTGAGGAATTGTGACTACAGTCTGAAAAATTGAAAAGTTGAAAACTTGCTGTTATGCTGTTAGAACACACCAAATAGAAGGAAAGATGGACTGAGTGGCAGAAACAAATAGGACTTCATATCTGACATGGTGGTGAAACTATCACATAGCCCAAAGAGTGATGCCATCTTTTTCTCAAAATGGGAAATGAAAAACCGTTGCCTTTGGAAGTAAAATGAAAGTTTGCACATGCAAATTTCCATGACAAGGTATGGATTTACCATGGCCACAGACCCATTAGCCATGCCGGTTTCAGGAAACTGGTACTTTCTGTCAGTGAGCCATGGTATAATCTGGTACAGAATCTATGGATTGAATAGGCTTTCTCACACAGAAATATACAAAGTTGGCCTAAGTTATTTCAAAGTACATCCATGATCATTTCAAAACCCACAAGAAACACCAAGGCCATCAAGTAGGGTAAGTCCTTAGAAAATGGACCAAAAGTGAATGTCATCTTAGGAATTAGATAGGGAAGTGTTATTAAATGTCAACAGCCCAGTTGATGGTAAGGAAGATCCATTTGCCAGGTTGTTAGATCATCTTTGCTTTAAAAAGAAATTGATAATCAAACATGATAAAAAATATGATAAAGAGGAGATCTAAGCTATTTGAGGTGGAGTGATGTGGGAACAGCAAAATTAATTTAGTTTTACATTTTCTAAAACACTTTCTAAAAATAAAAGAATTTCTAGGGCACTGAAAGCAGAATTTGATTAAAAATATGCAGGATTCTTTTTCACACATGAATAAAGTTAACATTGTTTTCTAGTTAGGGAAGAAAAAGGAGACCTGTATCCTCAAATAAGTTAAGGTAGAGCATATTCTTAGTGAATGGATGGTCTCAGTGAGAACAGTATATGGAGATATAAAGATTTTTAAATACCTATGGTTTAAGATGTGTGTGGTGGAGCTCACCTATAATCCCAGCACCCAGAGGCTGAGGCAGGAGGATCAGAGCTAGAGACCAGCTTGGACTACATAGCAAGATTCTATCTTTTTCTCCCTCCCACACACCTTGCAAAAACTATCTCTGGTTTAGCATAAACTTTTATTTGAACATGATCATAAAGTATTTAGCAACTTTTCCAAAATCACTTCTTTGGAATAAATGTAATCATTCATATATATATATATATATATATATGCTATAATTTAGGTAGTAGAAGTCCGTGTGTATGTATACCTGTGTGATCAAATTATTGCATATAATGAATCTCTTAGGTAGTAACCACAGTATTGTGAAATGGATTTGGGGAAATAATTATTAAAAAGGAAAATTTCCTTACGCAATTATATGACGAGAATCTGATTCTAGTACTTTTACTGTTAGTAAGTTATTTGTATGTTTACTCTTGGCCTGACTTATCAATGCTATCTTGAAATTATATGTTTCAATATGCAATCTTTTTTTCCCACAGACTAATAAAGCAAGCATCATTTTCTGATTAAATAAATTAAGGTGGGGCATATTCTTAGTGAATGGATGAGTTGGAAGAACAGAGTAAATTGAGATTAAGGAATTAGAGGTACTCTTAACTGCATTAGTCTCTTTGAGAAGACAAATATAAAAATTGTGCTATTGCTTTTATAGTAAACAGGGCTTCTTAAACTGTTTTTTTTAACCTGATGAGAAATTACTAATTTTCCATGAGATAGGTTCCATTAACCTGTGTTCCGTGTTGGGAAAGGAATCTGGTTTTATTAGCAATAGAGTTCACTTCAAATGGCCATTGTGATTAGTATATGTTGCCTGCAAATACCTGAAAAGTTTTTTCAGCATTTAGAGGTTCTCTGTCTGCCATTGGTCAGGTTGGTTTAAACTCTGAGAAAGCAAAGTTGTCCCCCACTATGATAGCTTTTCAGTAGCTTGTATCTTTGACTTGATGTGGGAGATTGTAATGTCACGAATAGGAAAAGAACTATCTGGGGTTAAGTTCTAGGCATGGCTCATCCATAACCCATTCTTTCTGATTGATTTGCTGATAATGGGTTTCTCAAATGTTTTGAGCACTGTATCCTGCCATGAGAATTGGGACAATTCCATGCCAAAGATTCCTCAGGCTCTCAACTTCTCTTCATTCCAATATCCAATTTCTGCTAATGATAAGGAAACAACTTTCCTCTCACACTTGCTTAATTGTATAACATTGATGGGAAACTTTTAAAATACGTTATTTATTGTAAAGATACTGTACAGAAGGGTTTCAGTTACATGAGTAAGGTAATGAGTATAGTTCCTATCAAGCATTGTTACCTCGTCCTTTGTTTTCCCCCTACCATCCCTTCCCTCCCCATCTTCCCAACTCCTCCCTCCCTCCCCCTCACAAGTTCTAAAGTTTGTTTTCAACACAGTGTCTTGTACGTATCATTGTTACAGTGGGTCAACCTGTAATGATGGGAAATTTTTTAAAGGTTATCTGAAATGCTAAGAGGGTGAAAGCGTAGTATTCAAAAGTATCTCTACAACCCAAGAGCCAGGAGCCAGTATTCTCTAGGAAAACAAGATTTTAACTGGGTACCAGGAGACCTGGGTTCTCATCCTTTTTCCTTTCCACCATGGCAAAGTCACTTTAGTCTATTTTTTCAGAAAAGGCTGAATGTTCTATGGAACCGCCAAGTAATAGTTCACTTCTGTGGAACTGGTGCATATGTATACACACCTAACTGGAAGGGAACTGAAACAAGTTGTCAGTCACAGGAGAGAACAGAATTGGTTAAATTCCCAGTCAAAGCTGTCTCTGTCCGCTTCACCACTGCAGAAGCAGAGGTGTCAGTCATTTTCTCTCAACCCACATTGGGTGAGCAATGAGCATTGGCAGAAGCTGCTTATGAGCTCAGCAAAGAAAAACAAACAACCCTCCAGTTCAGCTCTGATGATCTTCTTTTGCCCTTTTCCTACAGGAGGAATAGATTTTGCGGACATTGAAAGTAAATTTGCTCTGAGGACCCCTGAGGATACAGCTGAAGACACCTGCCATCTCATTCCTGGAGTGACAGAATCTGTGGCTAACTGCCACTTCAACCACAGCAGCAAGACCTTCGTGGTGATTCATGGCTGGACGGTGAGATTGGCTCTGCAGAAAGGCATGGTTTGGGGATAGATTATGCCCTAGGTAGTGGGAAGCCAGTGGGAGGTCTACATCCTAGCCTTCTACTTGTTCTCTAAAGGCTTGATAGTGAACATATGTGGCTTCCAATACCTTTCCCCAAAAGTTTTAAGCTTAATAATAGGAATAAACTAGATATCTCGGTTCTACTCCTGAGAGAATTATGTACCCAAAGAGTCTTTGTAGAAATGGTTTCTTCTCATACAAAAAGGCATGAGAAGTGGGCAACTTGAGGGGATGGGTGAGGTTGGGAGAGATCGAGAAGGAAGATTAAGGTGCAGTACTCATAAATTGACATGTTGAATTGAGACCCCTTTGTGCAACTAGTTAGAGACAATGAAGAGGCACTGTACACATAAATGGACACATTAGTCATTTGTAGATTAAAATACATTTAAAACTCAATAAAAAGAGAAAAGATGGCACGATCCACACAGTATCCATCAACAGTGGCAGCTGAGATCATTGGCTCTGAGATCTCACAAGCTCACGAGTGCTGTTCACAGTCTGTGTTCTGGCACGTGGAGTGCTGGCCAGGAGGACTGAGTTTCCCTATCACCCAGGGCCCTTTGCTCTGCAATGATAACAAAGCCTGCTAACTCTGGCTCACAGTCCTGGCTTATCTCAGAACTCAGTGGCCAGTTTTCTTGGACCATGTGGTCCATGTGGTAGGGTGGGCACTGGCTTAGCAGCATGTCTGACAACCAAAGATCTACTGTGATATTTCACAGAGGAACTGCAGAAGAAAACCCTAGAAAATGAGACTTTTTCTGTGTTGAGGAAAGTAGGTACTTGGACTCTTCACCTTTTTTGTTTGAGGTTACTTTCATCTATATTTTCTGTTGAATTGAAAAGGAAAAGATTAGCGGCTACTCTAATTATGGAGAGTATCTTGCCATTGTAGGAAAGTGAGTTTGCTTACCCTTTCCCAGGTTGCCTAACTGGGAACTACTGATAGTAAATACAGACTTAGAGCAAACACCTTGTTTGAGATAAGCTCCTGGGCCATTCAAGGACAGATGAAGGGAAGTGAGGACACTCTTCTGCCGGGCAGGGCAAGAACCCAAAGAATGCTTAGCATGTAGCATGCATATGGTCCCTCCCAGTACAGCTCAGACTCAGCTCCACTGGAACCTACGGGGATTTACTTGTTTAAAAATAGCTGCCAATTCTTTACAAACTTTAATTTGTTCACACTGAACTTTTCTCTTCCAGAGTATAAATTGGTGAAGTTTAAGTGAATTTATAAAACATACTTCTTAAAAAAATGAATGCCATGGGGCTGGGAAGGTGGCTCCGTGGTAGAGTGCTTGTCCAGCATGCATGAAGTCCTGGGTTCAATTCCTCAGGATCCCATGAACAGAAAAAGCTGGAAATGGCACTGTGACTCAAGTAGTAGAGTGCTAGCTTTGAGCACAGAGAGGCTGAGGGACAAAGCCCAGGCCCTGAGTTCAAGCCCCAGGACTGACTCCCCCCAAAAATTCCAGGAAGCTAGAATATGTATTGGTTGAAGGGAGGGAGACAGATGAACGGAGAGAGGAAAGGGAGGGTGAATGGAGTCAACACATACAATGTACATGTGTGAAAATAGAAGCAAGGAATGTAAGTGGATGGAGGGAGTGGCGGGAGAGGGGGGAGAACAATGAAAAGGGTGACCCTGATCAAGATATACAAACTGACATGTTGAATTAAACCACTTTATACAACTAAAGATAATTTTAAAATATCACACACACACACACACACACACACACACACACACACACACACACACACAGTGCAATAAACTCCAGTCTGCCATTCTAAGACCAACCCGTCTCTCCAACCCATTCAGACCTGCCTGCTAAGAAGCAGACACAGGTGCCCAGACACCACCCTCTGAGGTCGGAGGGAGACTTTCTCGTGGACTGTAGGCATGTGGGGCCTTTCATATTTATTCTCACAGTTCCTATGTGTGCCCTCTTCAGGTGACTGGAATGTACGAGAGCTGGGTGCCAAAGCTTGTGGCCGCCCTGTACAAGCGTGAACCGGACTCTAATGTCATCGTGGTGGATTGGCTTCTGCGGGCCCAGCAACATTACCCAGTGTCTGCAGGCTACACCAAGCTGGTGGGCAGCGATGTGGCCAGGTTTATCAACTGGATGGAGGTAAGGCCAGAAGAAGGAGCCTTATATGTCCAGAATAGGGCTCTTGCCTAAAATGAGACAGGCGGCTGGCCTTTCTCCTGTCCCAGATATTTCCTGGGACAATGATGTCTTCTGATTAAGCATGGGAATATTCTTTTTAGCCAAAAGGTGATTTAATGATCAGAATCATAAGACTATAAAGCCACTCTAGCGTCCCACCCTGCCCTGTCCTTGGATATTTTCAGTGGATAGATCTGCCAAGACCAAGAACAAAGTGGTCAGAACAAACAAAAGCCTGCTATTTCAGGACAAAGGGAAGAGGTCATGTCCAACCAAGTCCCTCCCCACCAGTTAGTTGGCCCATTGACATAGAATCCTTGATTTGCCCCCAGTCAGAATACCAGTCTCTCTGACCACCACCACCACCACAACCACCACCACCAACAACAAAAGAAAACATGGATGGTATTCAGCTAGATGTGGTGCATGCCTGTAATTGTAGGAAGCGAACTCAGGAGGATTGTGAGTTTGAAGCTAGCTTAGGCTACCTAGTAAGGGCTTACTTCAAACAGAAAACAAACAAATAAAAACATTACCATGTTTATTTTTTACTGTAGCTCATGGATCTTTGTTGAGATACATGGCCTAATCTCCTGTTTGGGATGAGAGAGGAATGGATTGAGCCAGAAGGGCATTTACTGGGAAGGTTTATAAGATGTGAGGTGACAGAGGATCTAAGCCCTCTGGCTTAGCTGCAGGTTTTCCTATATTCAGGGATGGCTGACTTCTTCAGGCCAGGCTTTGAGAATCACCTTTGAGAGATACCTTGAGGTGGGAAGGAAGCTAAAACTCTGACAGGGCTAAATTACTGAAACCAGATAGTTGTTGGTAAAAATAATAAGCTGTGTTTATCTGACTGAGCATAGAAAGACAAAAGTTCTTGACTCTTTTGCTCATCTGGTAAGTGGGAAAATCAGGTTGTCTTCTTGGGCCTTGGGTGCCTTACCTGTTGAGTGAGACACCGGGACCATTTGTGACTCTGACGTCTTCCCAGTCTTGGGTTTTGAGATTACAAGTCATTGCCTGGCAAACAAAACCTTAGAGAATAAAGTAATATGCACTACTTGGCTAGGGATAAAGTCTATGTTTGGGGGCTGGGAAGGTGGCTCAGTGGTAGAGCGCTTGCCTTGCATGCCTGAGGCCCTGGGTTCGATTCCTCAGCACCACATAAGCAAAAAGAAAAAAAGCCAGAAGTGGCACTGTGGCCCAAGTGTAGAGCACTAGCCTTGACCTGAAGAGCTGAGGGACAGCGCCCAGGCCCAGAGTTCAGGCCCCATGACTGGACGCCCCCCCCAAGCAAAAAAAGTCTATGTTTGTATAGATACAGATACACATATACTATAGATGTAAGTGTAATATATTTATTCCTGTATATATATATATATATAATGCTGATTTATGTGCATACATTTCAGACATACTTTCTGAGTTAAAAAAAACTTTCTGAGTTAAGCCTGCTGTTAAATTCTTACTAATAGAAGTGAGACATAATGATGTGCTCCTGTAATCAAAGATATTCAAGAGGCAGAGGTAGTAAGATCAAAGTCTGAGGCTGGCTCTGGGAAAAGTCATGAGACCTTATGTGAACAAACAAATAGCTAAAGCAAAAAGGGCTGGTATATGACTGAATAGTAGAGTACTTCCCCAGCAAGAGCAAGGCACTGAATTCAAATCCTAGTATTACCAAAAAAAAGAAGATAAAATCTTTACACTAGAGGATATACTTCTATCTCATATCTGCAACACAAAATAAGTAAAATTCATCTGTAGTAAGGCTATATTTTGAAATTTATATTTATGGGTTTTTAAATTACTTTTAGTTTTGATCTCTGGCAAAAAAAATGACAAATCTTCTTTCTTTCTTCCAAAGGATGAATTTAACTACCCTGTAGACAATGTTCATCTCTTGGGCTACAGCCTTGGAGCCCATGCTGCTGGTATTGCAGGAAGTCTAACCAATAAGAAGGTCAACAGAATTACTGGTGAGAATTTGCTTTCATCTCTCCCATCAGAGAGTTAAGGTGGCTGCCATGCTGAAAGGGAATCATAGCAACATGTTGGATATTCACATGCATATGGCATTCTTTGGTGGCATGTGTTTGACACTGAGTATTTCATGAGCGGACTCTTACTCAGGAATGAGATTGAGTATGGATGCTTGCTCTCCTGAATTTACTGTCCATCTGTAGCCAGCCCTACCACTAGAACTTAGCAGAGGTTAGCACAGAGGGTCCACACATTCCTCTGAGAAGTGTTTTCCTCCTCTCTGCGAAAGGCTTGGGAATGGATGGTATATGTGATGATTATCTACTCTCACAGCAATAGCAGGAAGGAAAATGACAGAGGGCCAATTTCAAAGGCCATTTGGAAAGATGACAGTTATTGAAAGAGTGTTGAGGGGGGAGGGGAGAGTTAGATACACAGAGCGAGGAAGGACCCCACCACTGCTTAAAGGTTTCGTAGAGTCAAACATGACACGCAATAGGATGCCAAGCCATGCTGAGTCACTTGCTGAAGGGTCTCAAATCTCAGTGATTCTTGTGGCATTTACCTGTAATGCTACCACTCTGAAGGGTGGTGAGGCAGGAAGATTACAGATTTGAGGCTAAACACACACACACACACAAACATGGAAAGAGAGTGAGACAGAGACTCAATTTCCACTTGAGGAGAGCCAAGCCTACTTTCATCACTCTGTCTTAGTAATCGAAAGACCCAATTCCTGTGGACTGGGAGCCAATAAGAATCTAAGTGGCTGCCAGTTACGTCCAAATGAGGGTCCACAGGATGCTAATGTGACTCCCGGGAACACTAAAACTAATGGAGGTTGAAATGTCTTTGGGACATTTTTCTCCATCAAGGTCTGGATCCAGCAGGCCCTAACTTTGAGTACGCCGAAGCTCCCAGTCGTCTTTCTCCAGATGATGCGGATTTTGTAGATGTCCTGCACACATTCACCAGAGGGTCACCTGGACGAAGTATAGGGATCCAGAAACCAGTAGGTCATGTTGATATTTATCCTAATGGAGGCACTTTCCAGCCAGGATGTAACATTGGGGAAGCCATCCGCGTGATTACAGAGAGAGGCCTTGGAGGTAAGTATGACTTAGTAGTCAATTAAAAATGAGTTTTTTTTAATGTCTTGTTCACTAGCCTTAGCGTATATAATTTGCCAATATGTTTCTGAAGACTCCTACCTGTCTCAGATCACCTTAGAGCAAACTGGCCTTCTTATCTTTCTTTTGTTATATTGTGAATTACCGTGAGATCTGCTTTTGCGGTTGCAAAAGGAAGTAAAGATGTGATTTAGGCAGGAAATCTCTGGCCACCATAAGAGCATCATAAAATGTCATCTGAATACTGTTGTTATAATTTGACTCATAGAGTGATATTGAGTTTTACTGAAAGATGTTAAGACTTCAAAATGGCTTTCCTTGGCTTTTCTAAGAGAGGCAAAAGATTAATCATGCTCTGTGGTAAATCTCCTCAATTTAATGGGGGGAACAAAAAGAACCTTAAGATTATCTTAATACTTCCTGTTAGCCTGTGGTGATTTGTGGCTTACTTTTAAGGGCCCTGTGCATACTTTCTGGACATTGGGACTTGCCTTTATTCACACACTAAGTATACATGTGCTAGAACACCTTGCATTATTGCTTTTAATTAAAAATTATAAAAGCTTATGGGGATAAATATATTCTTATAACATTACTGACTGTCCCTGAGATTCATCTGATGTAAAAATCCTAAGTAGGGTACAACCCTCCATTATTCACAATATGCAAGATAAAATACTACTCATTTAATGTTTATCCCCTTTATGATGTGGTGTCTAGAAGTAGTATTAGACATTTTCAATATAAGAAAAGAATGTGATAATCTGGGGAGAATCAGCTACTACCTTGGATGTCTTTTATTATGGATTTATAATATTAATAAGTATTAAGCAGCAGAAAAACCAGAAGTGCCCTGTGAAATTGCAACTTGGACAAACTTGGCAGTAAGTGGGCAGGTGCTACTCAGAATGTCCCATAACACAGAGCCTACAATTACCAATGTATAGCACCAGAACTTAGGGTCATTTGATTTTACCACTATGCCCATCTTGTTTTAGACATACAAAACAAAACATTCATTGTGGATTTCTGCAGACTTGAAATTCCCTGTGTGGCTCTTTCCCCAGATGTGGACCAGCTGGTGAAATGCTCCCATGAGCGCTCCATTCATCTTTTCATTGACTCCCTGCTGAATGAAGAAAACCCAAGTAAGGCTTACAGATGTAATTCCAAGGAAGCCTTTGAGAAAGGGCTCTGCCTGAGTTGCAGGAAGAACCGTTGCAACAATGTGGGCTATGAGATCAACAAAGTCAGAGCCAAAAGAAGCAGCAAGATGTACATGAAGACTCGTTCTCAGATGCCCTACAAAGGTAGGCTGAAGGCTGCTGTAGACAAAGAAAGTCAATTGGTCTCATTTTTGTCATGCTTACTGCACTACATTGACTGATTCTTTCCATTGCAATAGAGTTAAAGAAGTAATCTAACCACCTTGTGCTCCAATTGATAATAATAATAATAATTGAATTGTAACTAATCCATTTCATAGATGCTCCCAGTTCCCATGAAGTAGAGACCCAGTTCCCAGCCTGAGGCTTCCAGCCCTGCTTGCCTCTCTCCTAGCCAGGGGTTTTAGTAGAGATGGGAGGAAAAACATGAATGAGATGTAGATATTCATGCTCCTGCCTCAGAGGCTCCCCCTACATCTGACTGCCTTAGGGAGTGGCTTGTAAGGCAATCCTTAGGGCCCCACTGTTGATGTTTCAACAGAATTGGTCTTGATGTGAGCCTCACACACAGGGGGAATAAAGAGGCTGGGTCCAATCCTCTGACATGATACTGAGTAGGGTTCGTGGAAATACCATTGAAATGAGAAGAAACATGGCTTCCCACAGGGATGTAGCCACAAATGCCAAGTGTGCTTGGCAGAAATGCTAAGGGACAGGCTGGCAAAGGCAAGTGGATCATGGAAAAAGACTCTCAGGGCTTTGATTTGTTCACAGTACTCCATCAAAGATGTCTACCTTCTAGGACTGCTAACTCAGATACATGTAGGTTTTACATGCACTGTGCCTGTGCTTTTTTTTTTTTTCTTTTTTTTGCTGGTGCTGAGGCTTGAACTCTGTGCCTGACCCTCTTTGTACTCAAGACTAGCAGTATACCACTTGAGATACAATACCACTTCTGGATTTTTCTGTGATTAACTGGAGAAAAGGGTCTCACGGATTTTCCTGCCCAGCCTGGCTTCAACCTGAGATCTCAGATTCTTAGCCCTCTGAGAAGCTAGGGTTACAGGCATGAGCCACTGGTGCTCAGCACACATGTGCTTTTTTTTTTGAAAAGGAATAGCATTTAAGGGTTACACTCTTAAGGTGTGAACACTGTCCAAGGGAAAGAAGTGTTTCCAAGCCACAAAGATGGCTCAACCTCCTGTCCACTTCCTGATCGGTGCCTAGTGCAATGTGCTTTGTGGGTCTGAATTGCCTGATTGTTCCTAAGCTCTGCTGTTCCCCTGAAAACTGATGTTTTTGTTGCAATTTCTGCCCTTACAGTCTTCCATTACCAAGTAAAGATTCACTTTTCTGGGACAGAAAGTGACACGCAGATCAACCAGCCCTTCGAGATCTCTCTTTATGGCACTGTGGCAGAGAGCGAGAACATTCCTTTCACTCTGTGAGTAGTCTCAGGACACTTCTCCAACCTGTGGCCTGACCACTGCTTCCCTGCTGATGCAGTCCTGGGTCTGAGAAACAGAATCAGAGTCCCAGCTAGAAAACACGCCCCACTCCTTCAAGAAATTAGAATTTCACAACTGAGAAAAGAGAAGTTCCAATTGCCAATTTAGTTTTATTTAAATTATTGATTATCCATTAATTATTAATTTATTAACCATATTTGTTTAATTCATTTATGCTTTATTTTCTTTGGTCATTTTGGGCCTGTTTGTTACTTTTATACAAAGAAACAAAATGAAGTTATTAAATTCCCTCCAAAGATTTGATATAATAGGCTCAAGTTGTAATTCAATGATGGAGTAATTCTGTTAGCATTTGTAAGACCCTGGATTCCGTTCCTAACATGGGAAAATTTTTTTAGGAAGATGTTGGGTTCAAGGGTAGCCTGACCTCCATAGGTAGGAAGACCGTATCCCAAAATAAATAAATAAATAAATTTGACATGAAAGAAAACAAACAATAGTATCAGGAAACAATGTCCAAGTACCAACATAACAAATACAGTAATATAAGGGGAGAAAAATCACAAGACACAGCCTTACCCCTTACCATTGATCAAAGAAATATGAAGTTAAGGAAATTTTATGATACCTTTAGTAATGCCTAAGTATATATATCCTCTAAAACACCCATTGATTGTGAGGTGGTAAAGCAGGATACATTATTCATTTCTGGAACCTTCCAAGTAAGGAAGGCAGTGAGGAAATAATTGTCCATAACTTTAAAATGTAACCACACGGAATAGAATAGTCCTTTAAAAAAAGTATTTATCCTAAGTACTGAATTGTGGTTTAGCAAGTCAATTAAGTCAATTTGGCCTTTGAAGAACTATTACTACAGAAAACTAGGTAAAATATGGTAAAGAAAAAAAAAGATCTTACATGAAAGGAACAAAAAAGAGTAAGGTAGTGTGTACATAGTTTGACTGTAATTTGGTAGAAAGGAATTTGGTAGAAATAATTAATGCATTACATACAAATAAATTTACATATCAATACATTAAAAGGAGTATACGAAGCTAAAGATTAGCTAATGGATGTTTCCCCTTTAAAATTGTATTGAGTATTTATAATTTATTAAATGCTATTGACATTCATTTAAGGTTTTCTGTAGGACATTTTTTACAGTTTAAAAATAGGGCCCAAACAATAAAGCTATTTCCACTGGGGGAGGAGAAAAAGCTGATTTCCAGAGCTAACTGAATGAATGTGTTGTGACACTTTATTCAGGCCAGAGGTCTCCACAAATAAGACGTATTCCTTCCTGATTTACACGGAGGTGGACATCGGAGAGCTGCTAATGATGAAGCTGAAGTGGAAGAGCGATTCTTACTTCAGTTGGTCTGACTGGTGGAGCAGCCCTGGCTTTGCCATTGAGAAGATCAGAGTAAAAGCAGGAGAGACACAGAAAAAGTAATTAAGTTGAAATCTTTTCATCACTTCAGATTCACCCCAACAGCATTACACAGGGACAGTATTTCAAGGGCCTTCCCTGTGCAAGTGTCAGCTTATCAGGCCTCTCTCCAGTACTCTGTGGCTTAGATTATGATACCTAGAATGGTTTGGGGGTATTTGCTATCATCACACTGAAGAAATAATGTAGGTAGAATATCCTTGTGGGAGAAGACACAGCCATTGAGGCTTCGTGGGTATGTGTCCATAGAGTCTGATGTTAATTTTAAGCAGGTGTTGTGGTGTGCCTGCATTGGAGCTGCAGCCCTTCACAAGAGTGATATCAAGTGTAAGGTCTCTGACATCATGTTGGTGCTCAAAAAGATTTGATGGAGTACTTTGGGTTTTAGATTTTTCAGTTAGGGAAAGAAGTATGTTGATGTAAGGAATATGCAAGGTCTGAATATGTCCCAGTAATTTGGAATGAGAGAGGATTAGAAACCCAGAAGCTCAGAATTCACATTTAGCACTGTTTCTTTTTAAATTCTTTTTTTTTTGGGGGGTCTGGTCATGGGGCCTGAACTCTGAGCCTGGGCACTGTCCCTCAGCTCTTCAGCTCAAGGCTGGCATGCTACCATTTGAGCCATAGCACCACTTCCGGCTTTTTTTTTCTGCTTATGTGGTGCTGAGGAATCGAACCCAGGGCCTCATGCATGCAAGGCATGTGCTCTACCACTGAGCCACCTTCTCAGCCCCTCTTTTTAAATTCTAATTCTACTACACCACCACCACCACCACTACCACCACCACCACTACTACTATCTTTAAGTAGTTGTATAAAGGAGTTGCCATTTAACAAAGCAGTTTTTGAGTATATATTGATTAATGACACCCCTTTCAACATTCTTACCCATCCCTCTCCGACCCATCCTTTCCCTCATTCTTCTTAATTTTGTAGGATATACATAGGATTCTTGTCTGCATTTTCCCTCTCTTCTCCTTTTCAAATGTCTGCTCCTTATCCCCTTGATCACACCCCTTTGAGTATCTGGTTCCTGGTGTTTTATTTTGCTAAACTTGATTTTGGCTTCTTCTTTTTTTTTGTTTGTTTGTTTTTTTGGGTCCGGTCGTGGGGCCTGAACTCTGGACCTGGGAGCTGTCCCTCAGTCTTCAGCCCAAGGCTAGCGCTCTACCACTTGAGCCACAGTGCCACTTTCAGCTTTTTTTTTCTGCTTATGTGGTGCTGAGGAATTGAACCCAGGGCCTCAAGCATGCAAGGCGAGCGCTCTACCACTGAGCCACCTTCCCAGCCCCTTGATTTTGGCTTCTTAAGATAGCACTATTTTTTGCTTACATAAAACAGTTATGTCTAACATTCAAAGTCTAAAAACAAACCTGGCTAAGACGAGTTACATTCCAAGATAATCTCATCCTCTTTCCTCAGGCACATCCCACATGCATCTACAAAACAAATTGTACATAAAAACAAATGAACAAAAAAACAAACAGCTTTTTTCGGGGGTTGGGGATTTAGCTCAGTGGAAGTGCACTTGCCTGACAAGTGCAAGGTTCTGAGTTCAGTCCTCAGCTCTGAGAAAAACAAAACAACTTTTGGATGGAAAAACTATATAAACCTGTTTCCTCCAAGACTCATTAATAGCTGATTCTCCAGTTCCCTAATGCTGAGACAAAGAGGTGTGGACATTGGTCTTATGTTATCTCTCAGAGAAAAATCTTGTGATTTTAAAGCTGCCCCGGGCTGTTTATAAACCTATCTAGATTAATTAGCTTGTGTGGGTTAGGCCTCCAGAGTGAAATGTGACCTGAATGGTATATTGACTAGAAATCTCAGCACAAGTAACCAGAATGATTATTCAGGATTTCAGCAGCCTGACATTTTGTTGAATAGTCTTTTTGATTTCTCCAGTTGGTATATTCACATCCAATTTCTTCCACAGGGTGATCTTCTGTTCCAGAGAGAAGGTGTCTCAGTTGCAGAAAGGAAAGGGCTCTGCAGTGTTTGTGAAATGCCATGACAAGTCTCTAAAGAAGTCTGGCTGGTGAGCATCTTGGATAAAACTTTCTGAGCATCCATGAGAAGCATTGCTCCTTATCCCATAGCTACTAACTGGTACCATTCTTTGAACAGAACCTTCAGGCCATCTTTCTCAGTACTTTTGCTTATGTATCAAAGGGGTTCACATGCTTTGTATAGTAGTTATTTTTCTTTTTCTCAGTCATGACTGTCATTCAGGGTAGGTACACAATTTACTGTAGTTGTTCACAGCTACCCCCCAAATCCTCCACTTCTACATTTCCTAATGCTGCACTTTTGCTACCTTTATTGATACTGACTGCAGAGTATGTGGCTCAGGCTTAGCCCTGGCCAGCATGCCTGTGGGTGCCGCTCTTCCAAGCATATATCTAGGGATAAAAATGGCTCCTATGGTTGTTGGGTGCTAGCGGCTTCTGCCTGTAATCCTAGGTGCTCAGGAGGCTGAGAGCTAATGATTATGGTTCAAAGCCAGCCCAGGAAGGAAAGTTCATAAGACCTGTATTTCCAGTTCCACCAAAAAGGCACAAGCTGTGGTTAAAGTGGTAAACCAGAGCAACAAAGCTCAGGGACAGTATCCAGGCCCTGAGTTCAAGCCCCAGAACTAGTGCATTTGCTCATAAGCATGTGCATGCTCTCTCTCTCTGTCTCTCTGTCTCTCTCTGTCTCTCTCTCTGTGTCTCTCTCTTTCTCTGTCTCTATCTCTCTCTTCCCCTTCCCTGTCTTCTTCCGTCCCTCTCTCCCTCCTTCTCTCTCTCTCTCTCTCTCTCTCTCTCTCTCTCACACACACACACACACACACACATACACCCACAAGTCTCATGGTGTCAGCAGTAGTCATAGAGTCTGAATTTTCCAATGCCACAAGACTCCAGTACACAGAACCAGAGGGGCACAAGGCACACACCTCAGAACCTTGGGGATGGGGAGCGGATGGACAGAGTGTGGGAAACTGCTCTCCTTTCTATCTCAAAACAACTGCTGGCTCATTCCTACTTGACCTTTAAGGCTAATCCACATGGCAGCTGTCAGCGGAATCTTTCCAGAACGTCAGTGCTAAGTGGAGACCAAGCATGTGACCTTCCCCTCTCCTCTCCTGAGTCCTCAAGACATGTCATTTTCATTCCTGAAGGCCCTCCAGATCCAAGGGCTAATTGGTTACACATATAAAGGGGAGAAAGATCCTTCCATACAAAATAGTGACTCAAGCCTGTACTGGTGGCTCACACCTGTAATCCTAGCTACTCAGGAGGCTGAGAGCTGAGCCAGCCCAGGCAGAAAAGTCCATGAGACTCTTATCTTCAGCCAACTATTCAGAATAAGCTGGAAGTGGTACTGTGGCTCAAATGGTAGAATGCTAGCCTTGAGCATAAAGAGGCACAGGGACAGCCAGCACCCAGGCCCTGAGTTCAAGCCTCATGCCAACCAACCAAACAAACAAATAAATAAAAGGCAGTGACCCAAGAAACAGTGACAAAAGGCTGGTCCCAGCATCACCTGCAAATAGAAAAAGCAATTGCTTCTTCTAGATTACATATGGACAAAAGTACACAATAAGAATTACCTCCTCAGAACATGATATATTAAAGACCTTATGAGGAACTTCTCTTATTTGAAATCTCTATTTGATACCTAATTTGTACATATTCACAATAAGTTGACTAGAGAAAATAGACAAAAAAATGTCATTTAAGACTCTATCACCCATGGGCACCTCCAATTAACAGTTTGATTTGTATCCTTTCATATTTTGTAATATATAAGATTTATCTTTTATTTAGATCAAATTATGGAACTCGAGCTATGGCTCAAGTGATACAGTGCTGGAGTCTACATTTCCCTGTTTATTCTCACAGGCTTTGTTCTGAATTTGCAGATTAATATTTTTTTATAACCTTAACAATGATGAAGATAAGAGGAGCCAGTAGTGTGGGAGGACTTTCTAAAATACTAAGAAGAGATAATAAATTGTCCTTTTTTTCTTATTGTTTTTTCTTTCCTCAGATACTGGGTAAATGTTCAGAAAGAAGAACCATTCAAGAGTTCTGTAAAGAATGGAGTCAACCAAGTCAATTTAACAAAAGATGCCCTGTGCTTTGAGTATTTAAAAGTAGATTCTCCTGAGTATTACTCAAAGCTCCATCCCAACTCATTAAATTAGGAGACAGTCTCAAATGCTAAAAAGCGGCTAATTGAAGATGAGGAGCCTAGTGGCCAAACAGCATAATCTCCAGCATCACAGACAGCAGATCTGAGACGCACTACATTTGTTTTTTGTTTTGTCCTTTGAGAAAGAAAAGATTGCTGGTGCCCATAGTAAAATAAGGTTCTTTCAGGTGGTATGTTTGGACATTGTCTAGAATTAATTAGAATCTCACAGTGTAATTAGAATTTGAGAGTTTGTGGGAGATGGGGGGTTAAAAGCCTTCTGAAATATTGCTCCAAGTTTGAATATTGGAAATTGTTTTCTGTGGTGTGAGTCAGGTGCGTTTATTTATCAGGCAAAACACCTGATCTTTCTGAATAGTTCTCTCAACATTGAGATATGGTTCGGCAGTTAACTGGGGACATGTGCCTTGGAGATTGGGTGAGAACACAGAGCTGATCAAGTTCCACTGTTGGCTTATGCTATGGTCATGTTACAAGGGGGAAGCAGTACAAAACTGAGATCAAGTGCTTCTTCATAGACTTGATATTTTAGTCTTTAATCTCTCTCCCTCATTTCCCCCCTCCTTTGTCTTACTATTATATTTGAACTGTTCACAAGGTAGATGTTGAAAGGGAGCCTGTAACTCTCAGCTGGCACCTAGTTTGAATGGTGCAGAGAAGAAAAGAATACCCTAACTTCATTATCAAATTTCTTTCATTGTTTTCATCTATTTGGAATGATCGCTCTTCAGTTTTAGCTTGGTCACATCTCAGTAATAGTTAGAGAATGTGTTCAAGTTCAAATTTTGCATTGTGTGCTACAAATTTAAATGAGAACCACTTTGCTAGGTCAAAAAGTAGGCTCATTATTGTACACTAACACATAAGCAGTCTTATAAACCACTGTAGCCACAGGAAGTGCCAGGAGGGTTGTCATTTTTTAACAACTAATCAAGAGTGAATGAGCACTTATTTATAAACTAGAGCTCATATTTTCAAAATGCTTTTTTCCTATATATTAATATAAAATAATCAAGAAACCAAGTTATCTCAGAAGTTAGAGCTGGGAGCCCAAACTATGAATGTGTGCAGGAGTCTGGACATTTACTTACCACATGTATGCTTGTCAATCATTATTTGGAAGGTAAACAATCAAGATGGGAATTGGCACATATCAGAGTAGCAGTAGCTCCCGACACACTGGAATGTCAACTCTTCGATGGAGAAAGATGACTGTGTCTGTATAATATTGGACAAATGTTGTCATTGACTCTATCAGTCTTGGAATGCATTCTAACAATAAAATGATGTATGATAATGTCACTCGCATCCCCTTTATTGCTAATTCATTGATTTTGTGGATTCAGGTTTTAATTCAGGGTGCATCAACTTAAAAGATTTAACAAAACCGTGCCTGGCACTGGGATCTCTGACTTCTAAAGACTCTGCTATACATATCAATGATGCTTTGGCTTTAATATTTATTAGCTGTAAATATATGTGTGGGTGGGTGTGTAAGAGAGCTTGTATATCTTGGAAAGGTTGTTTTTGGTTACCTGCATTTATAGTTGTGTGGTGCTTTGTACATATTTTCTTTTTAGTGTCGGTCTCCCTGACAACTTATTCTTAAATAATATGATGAAATTGGCTTAAAAATGAAAGAAACTGACTTAACTATGTGAAGAAATGGAATCTACTTTTAATAAAATTGACAAAAGTTTATTACAATACCAAGTAATTATTTTGTATCATTTCAGCCCTTCTCAAAAAAAAGTAGATTTATTCTTAGGTCAGATTCATTTAGCAAAGTTTGAGTAACCATTGTCCTTGGTCAGGATAGTACTTCCAAGAATGACAGTATGCATGTGTTGTGCTGACATTTGTCTAAAGCTCTACAAAGTCTTAGCTGTCTGTTAACTATGGAGGGAAATAATACAGAACGTATTTTGAAATAGAATTTTCCTTGCCTCCAGTATGCTGTTTCAACAATAAGGTATTATATAAATGCAAAATATCATTTTCTAGGACACATTTCATATACAAACATATCACAATAAGTTGACCATTAGAGGCTATGCATCTGTGTCATCTTCTCCTCTGTGACTAGTGGCCCAGTACACCTGGTGTCCAGGCATCTCAGTAAGTCCACTCTGTAGGTGCTGATGAATGTATCGCAGTATCTTTCATTCTTGCAATGCTGTAGACACTGAAGAATTTCCTGTCTGGGAACTAAACATGGCTGCTCACATTCTGCTATCAGGTTTCTTCAATGGCTCCTGTGTTTTGCTTCTCAAACCCTTATGCAGTTCACGAATGTACATTGATCCATGAGACCAATAGCACAGAGTATAAGCCATGATATCTTATACCCCAAATGAAGACCTTCAGCTTCCACTGTGGCTCCTCTCCTCTCTGGTTTTGTCTGTCAGGGGTCCATGCCCTGGGGAAGGCCATGTGACTGATTCTATAGACAGCTAGCTCTCTGTGATGCAGAACTGAGGCCTCTAGCTCACCTTAGCCCCATGAATGAACTGAACGGTACCCGATCCAGTCAAGCTTGGAGAAGAGAAGCCAGGCCAACAGCTTGGCTATAACTTTGAGAGATACCCTGACCCATTTCAGCACTTCCAGATTCTTTGCCCACAGAAATGGAAATAACAAACGTTGATTTCTTAACCTGCCAAATGTTGGGTTAATTTGTTAGGCAGCCATAGATAAGGAACCTAAATCCTCAATTATTTCTTAGGAACAAAACATTTAGACAATCATATTTTGGACAAGTGTGGTGGCACACACCTGAGATCCCAACACTGAAGAGACTAAAGCTGGAGGATTGGGAATCAAGGCCAGCCTGGAAGAAATAGAAGGCAGTGGACCATAATGGATAATCAGCTCTGTGGTCTTTATGCTTGTAACTGAAGTGGGGAGATCAGGTCTGGCTAGCACCATCTTGACCACATGGTAGATGATAGGGTCTGGCATCTTGTCTTCATGGTGGCAGAAGGTGAAGCCCTTCCCTCCCTGCACCCAGGTGATGGGCATGCCTGAATCCCTGGAGGCAGGGGAGGAGACTTGGATGATAGGTTACTAAACCTGTCAGTCCAGTGCTTGGGACCTCTGGCCCTTACCCTATTTAGGCCCAGACCAGCTCAGGCACTAGTAAGCCAGGGCACGTGTCCCTCCATGTTAGTGTCCTGTCTGCTGTCTCCTGTCTCCTGTCTGTTCTCTGGTCGCCATGCCATCCCATTTCAGCTCTCCATTGGAGTTGGTATTGTTTTTTTTTAAATTTTATTTTATTTGTGAACATACTGTACAGAGGGATTACAATTACATGGGCAGGATAATGCATACATTTCTTACCAAGCATTGCAGCCTCCTCCTTTGTTTACTCTTCACATCCCTTCCCAGCCTCCCGGAATTGGTATTGTTTTTATTCTTTCTTTCCTCTCTAGTCTTCATGGCTCAGTTTCCTAACAGTGTTAAGTGAATATGCTGGCTGCTAGTCCTTGAGACAGGAGTCTACCTTACAGATGCTAGCCTTGTAATAAAGACTCCTGAGGGTTGGGAAGGTGGCTCAGTGGTAGAGTGCTTGCCTCGCAAGCATGAGGCCCTGGGTTCGATTCCTCAGCACCACATAAACAGAAAAAAAATGGATGTGGTGCTGTGGCTCAAGTGGTAGAGCACTAGCCTTGAGCTGAAGAGCTGAGGGACAGCTCCCAGGCCCAGAGTTCAGGCCCCACAACCGACCAAAACAATTAAAAAATTAAAAATAAAGACTCCTGATTCGACTTCTCAAAATGTGTCTTCTCTGCTGTCTTGCCATACAGCATAACAATCCCAGGTTTTGCACTTATAAACAATGTGCTTTTTCTACAGAATAGTATTATTTATAGGCTCCTACAATCCAATGGGATTTGAGACTAACAATAACCAACGGACTCATCAGCTAAATTCCTTCCTTGGCTTCCATAGTTTTGCCACACAGGAACCCCATGGGAACCCTGTGGCTCGGAAGTCCCTTGTGTATGAATTGGCTCTCTTCCCCACTGCCAGCCCAGTTCTTATTCAGTAACATAATTGCGAATCACTCCTGAGCTGCCTTCTAGCATTGTGGTCTTGGAGTCAATTGGCCTTCAACTCAGGGCTAGAAGCTTTCTGAAGAGGCAGAGGGCATCCTTGTGGACGCTTGACATGCAGGTCCAGGTGACGAGAAAGAAACACCAAGTCTACACTGTCTCAAAAGTACTAGCTAGAGCTACTAACTAGTTTCCCATGTTCTAGGCACTGGGCTTTGTGGGGAATACTCTTGTCTTACTTTGCTTGGTTGACTCAGAGATAAGGAACAACCCAGGAAAGCTGAGCTGGGCCTCCAGCTTTCAGCTCCCCAGAACTCTGTAAGCATTTGGGATGTAAAGAGTTGAGGAAGTGAGAAGAAATTAGCTTAAGCTTATCAAACTGGAGGAAAAGTTTCCACAGTCACACTCATGCTTACTTTGCACGTGACTCCACAGGCAGACCTCTGCGCCGCCAAACAGACCACGCTTGTTCCCATGACCACGCATGGTACAGATGACTAACTCCTACACCAGTGATCACACCCCGGGGATAGCAAGTAGTTGGCTATTGGCTTGGTCTTACAACTTATCTGATTCTTTTCTGTCTTTTTTTTGGGGGGGGGCATGGGGCTTGAACTCTGGGCCTGGGCGCTGTCCCTCAACTCTTCAAGGCGAGCATTCTACCATTTGAGCCACAGCGCCACTTCTAGCCAGAAGCGGTTTATTGGAGATGAGTCTCCCGGACTTTCCTGCCCAAGCTGGCTTTGAACTGTGATCCTCAGATCTCAGCTTCCTGAGTAAGCTAGGATTACAGGTGTGAGCCACCAGCACCAGGATTTTTTTTTATTTCTCTCTTTCCTTTCTCCCCTCCCTCCCTCCTCTCTTTCTCCCTTTTCTTCCTTCCTTCCTCTCTTCTTACCTCCTTCCCTCTGTTCTTTCCTTCCTTCCTTTCTGTGATACGAAGCCCTTATGCATACCAGCAAATATTCTATCATGTATCTACATTCTCCAGCCCATTTTCATCTTATTTCATGTGGTGCTAGGATTGAACCTAGGGCTTTGTGCATGCTAAGCTCACAGTGTCCCACTGTGCTACATCTCCAATTTCATTGTATATTTTATTTCCCTACTAAATTTAAAAGCAATGATTGTATAAAATCCTGTAAAGACCTCTTAAGGTATTTAAAGTCAATTCCATCACTAATAGTCTAGATGTGACTTCTGCTTGTTCTGGAACTCACAGTTGTTGTAGCACAATGGCACCATGGAGTAAGTTATTCTTATCAGCACTATGGCAGCCTGAGCTTCCCACCACGTTATCAACATCCAAACCAAGTCCACTGGATGCAAGAAATGTGGTATTCATGTCCGGAAGTCCTCATTACTTCTCTAGAAACTTGGTACAGCTGTTTGAAAATACTAATTCATTCTGTTCTGGGAACTGGAAAGTAGTTAAGCCTGATAATACATCCCAAAGCAGAGTTTCAACACAAACAACCAACCCCAGGAAGAAAAACAACCTTCCCACACTCCTTTCAGTCTTCTCACCAGAGAATGGTCTGTAAAATGCCTTTGACTGGAGATCCACCTTCCACAGATATACTTACTGATAAAAAGTTATCTCTAGAAAGAGCTGTCTTTGGAAAGGCTTTACACCCAGGCTTGAAATACAACTCTCCCTTCACAGGAAAGCCATTTCCATTTGTAGAACAAGTCAGAGTACATTAACAGGGCATACAGTCAACAGAAGTGCAGGAGATGATGGCTTGAAGGCATGATGGAGGTAGAAATGGAAGAGGTGGGAACCTGGATTAAATATTGGCCTAGTATAACCGTTAGGGCTTCACTTGCAGTCCAAGCATTTGCTAGTGCCTTGATAATTTTGACCTTTGTAAAATACTTATTGAAACTCAAAGCTTTCAAGATCCAAGTAGGCTTGATCACAGGTACACAAGAGAACCAACTCAACAAGAAAACCAAAATTCCAATCAGCAAATGGCTACAATACCTGGATAGCCTTATCTTAAATGTATTAACTGAAATATGGTAGATTCAAGGAAGGACTCAAATAGTATAATTCCTCAGAAAGTCAAAGTCAAAGATCAGTAAACTAAAATACAGGGAAGTGGGTGCTCAAAGGGTAGGGTGAGGTGGAAGGGAAAGCCAATGAAGAGAAGGGGAGGAAAGTGCAGGCAGGAATAGAATACACAAATAGAATACACTACAAAATTAAGAAGGGTGGGTAGGGGAGGTATGCCTGACAATGTTGAAAGGGGTGACACTGATCAAGATAGTTTTATTTGCTGATCCTGGGACTTGAACTCTGGGCCTGGGCTCTGTTCCTGAGCTGCTTTTTGCTGAAATCAAGTGCTTTACCACTTGAGCCACAACACCTCACCCAGCTTTTTCTGAGTAGTTCATTAGAGATAAGAAGTTTCCGGACTTTCCTGCCTGGGCTGGCTTTGAGCAGCAATCCTCAGATCTCAACCTCCTGAATAGCTAGGTTTACAGGCGTGATCCACCAGGAAACAGGCGATGGAGATACATTGTATTCATACACTGCTTTGTTAAATGGCAGCTCCTTTGTACAGTTAATTAAAGATGATGTTTTGAAAAATAAAGAAGAGCAGAAGGATTTGTCGGAGACAAGTGGCCACACTTTTCTTCCCCTTCCT